CTTTTTATTCTTTTGGTAGAAAATAAATATCCTAACCTTGTAGTCTAGAAAAAAGCTCCGTTTAACATCCCAAAGTGATAATTTTGTGATGATTTACTTCATAGTTTATCAGTCCTGTTCTTCCTATCCCCAATCTGTTTAGTAATGTGGGCCTTATCACTCTGTTTACTTATCTTTGTAAATATTTCTGCTTGGAATATAGAGGACATAGGGTGAAGGAAGGAAAAGTATGACTATTTTTTTCTTAATTGCATTGAAAATTTGGTAAATAATCCTCATTGATTATTCCCTGCTATGAAGATCTTTTCTGGGAACAGTAAAGATATGAATCATGTAATCAGTGTTGTTTTAATCCTTAGTTGAGGAAGCTGAGGCCCAGAGGATTTGAGGGACTTAATTTGGATCTCAGAGCAGTTTAGGGAGCCTCATCAGAGGCTATCCTAATTCCTATTCCAGTGCTCTTTCTGCTCCCCTCATTGATAACCCACGTGGAAGTGACCGGTGGCCAACATACAGGCAAAGAAAAAAGAATATTTACTCACACACACACACACACACACACACACACAGTTCCAACAGCTTTAAGAAAAAGAGGAAAAAAGAATATTTACCAAGCAAACCATGTGGGACGTTCATGAGAGTGTCAATGGAGAGTAGGATGGACAGGCATAGATTTCTGTGGGGCGGGGCATTGAGTGTGGCATGGACAGGACCAGGAGCTGTACCACATTCCCCAGTGGCAAAGCACAGAAAGCCGTAGTGTTACGATTATTGTTGAGTCTGTATTTGTACTTAATAATAGGTCTACTCAGAAGTATCTTATAAAACTTTTTCCAAGGGTGTCTTAATTCTGACCACTAACTAATGGATTAAATGTTAGAAGAATGCAGCTAGTTTTGTTAGAATAAACAGAAATTTACAACATTGTTACTAAATTAACACTGTTAGTAACCATTACTAGCATTTTACTTTTTTTTTTTATTTAGGAGACAGGGTCTTGCTTGTCACTCAGGCTGGAGTGCAGTGGTAAGATCTTAATTCACTGCAGCCTCAAAGTCCTGGACTCAAACGATCCTCCCACCTCCGCCTCCCGAATAGCTGGGACCAGGCGTGTGCTACTACACCCAGTTAAACATTACTAGCATTTTAATTAGTGATAGTTCTCTTGTCCTTTTGTGTACATACCAGATTCAGACAAATGTCTTTGTTGGTGAAGGTAGTCGTTGCTATCTTTGTAATACTCTTAATAGATATAGTTATTATTTCATTCCACATGTGTACCTTTGCTTTCAGCACTGCAAGTTGCATTTGGTTCACTGTATCGAGATGATGTCTTAATAAAGCCCAGTCGAGTTATTGCCATTTTGGCAGCAGCTTGTATGCTGCAGCTGGTAAGTATACACATTATTCAAAGAAAGGATCACAATGGTATCTCTGTTGCCAAGTATCTATTCCAAAAACAAAAATAAAGCTTAGCTTTTTACAATTTTTAAAACAAAAATGAAATGTATAAATATGCCATTTGTCATAAATCATTTAAAATGCTTAACTAAAAGCAGTTTATTACAACTGAGGGAGTCATGATGTCTGTGTAAAATGAATGTAAGCTGTTTCTGTGTAGCTATCTTAATATAACTGTAATGTGGAAAATATTTACTCATCTAAGTTCATTTACAAATTTCTATTCATTAATGACTTGACTACTTAGCAGATAGCTTATGATTACTAATTAATTTGGTTCATGAGTTCAAAAAGTATTGTGTGCCTACTATGTAAACTTTATTAATTATGAAATAATTATGTGTAAACCACATATGTATTTTAATCTACTGGTAGAATGATAGATTTGTTCATTTAACAGAAGTATATTGAACAATGTGTCAAACTAGGCATAGAAATCCAAAGGTAAATTAAGATGTAGTCCCTGCCTTCAAGGAGCTCTCAATACTGTGTGTGTGTTCGTGTGTGTGTGTTTGTAGTGGAAAGAGGAGGTTTGATATACAAATCCAAACATAAAGTAAGAGCTGTCCAATATTACAGGTATGATAATAAGCATCCTGTAGAATTTAGTAGATGCATAAAGAAGGAAGTGGTTAGTTCAATCTGATGGTATCACAGAGGAAATTTATGTTTCCAGATTGAGTCTTGAAAGTTGAAGTCTGCTTATCTTACAATGTATGAAGAGAGGGGAAGGAAGAACCTTTCAGGTAGAGGAAACGGGAAAATTAAGACCTAGAGATGTGAAACGTGGAGGATTAGAGAATGTAAGAGGAACATGGCTCCAGCATAAACTGAGGATTGAAGAGAGGGAGGCAGAAACCAGATCATGAAAGTCTCTATGTATTGCTAAGAAGTTTAGCCTTTACATGTGAGTACCTTTGGAAGATTTTAATCAGGAGAAAGACAAAGTTATGTTTTAGAAAGAATACTTCAGGAACAACGTGAAGGATGGATGGAAGGAAAGATGAGTACAGCATTAAAGACAAAACCTTATGGCAATGGTCCAAGTGAGAGTCTAAATTAGGGTAATAGCAATAAGGATGGAGGGGAAAAATGAATACCAGAAAGACTAAGCAGGGGTAATACACTGGACTTGGTGACAGACAAGATGTTAAGAGGAAAGGGGAGGAGTCTAGAATGACTTCCAGGTAAGTTTAAAATTCTAATGAAGTTAATGTTTTATTTTAGTCTTTAAAAAAAATTATTTCCTTTTATGTGGCATTTATGTACTGATTTATTTGAAGTTTATTAGTGAATAGCTTGCTGAATATCTTTGGCTGCGATCATTTCATTTTTATTAATAAATGTTTTGATCCTTTCAATACTTATTTCTAATATGCTTTATTTCCTAACTTTGGTCCTTTTGGTTTTGTTCTAAATTCACTTTCTGCATTATTTTTATGATTTACTAACTCTTTAATAATATACTCACATG